CCGTCAGTGGTAATGGCTTTCGGATGGATACCGCGTTCGTTTGCAGCGAGGTGCCAACGTTTCTCAAACCTTGCAGTTTGCATCATTAGGGCTGGGAGGTTCCGATACTGAGCTCCCTTGAGTTACGGTAGTCCTTATATACTCGCGCCCCTCCGCTCTTCTGGTTAACTGTTAACCAGAGGTTAGTCGGCTCTCCATCTTTTTCCATGTTATTAATCTAAGAAGAGATAAAGAATCGCCTAATCTCTCGTTAACAATTAATCAGACGACACAAAACCGAGCAACAGATAACAGTCAACGTTCGTCACGATACAATTGTCAATAAAAAATTATTAATGAAATACCGGAAATAGTCAGACTCGTGATAAAATTAACAACACAAAAATTATCAATGGAATACCAGAAATACTCAGACTCTTAATCTTTCCACTTTTTACTTCGGTACCGAGTGACAGGTGTAGGTGATCTTATTCCATTGTTGCTCCTGCTAAAGAGACAGACGTTCGTACTTCTTTCTTTCAGAAACACAATGGTCGGTGGGTATCTATTCATGCTAGCGCGTCACGTGGAAACGTTTCCATCATCTCGTCCGTTTCACGGGAGCTCTGTATGAGCTCTGCGGGTCCTTGTATCGCGCGTGTGTCTGACCATTCCATAAAGGAAGGTAATATGAATGGATTACGACAGAAAGAGAGAGAGAGAGGGAGAGAGAGACGGGATCGGCAGCTAGACTAGTATGCTGCGATAATAGAACGAAGTATAATAGCCACTATGCGATTATCGTCCTAATAAGCGCAAGCAATGACGCAAGAAAGCCATTCGCGCGCGCGGAATAAGAATGTGAGAGGCCAATGTTGAAGCCGAAGCTCGCGTATTTGCGCGAGGAAGGACTGCAATGGGAGTCGGGCCGCGATACGATTGCGATAGCGGTCCTAGTTGTCCTTTCATGGTGTCTCTCGCCGCATCGCGCCCGCAATTACGTCGTCATTCGACGCCGCCAGTCGTGAGGCAATATTGTGAGAGATCAATCGCGAGTATCCGAGAGTCTCAAATCAATTATAAGTACATCAATTGCAATCGTTACGTCGCACGTACATACATATATATGTTAATGCACGGGCTCTGTAATCGCACGGTTTGTTGATTAATCCACGGCGCATAAATCATGCACTTCTCGCAAATGACGAGGAATCGAAGAGCAATCGCGCTGCTAATGAATCTCTAATCGCGCGGGATTCTTTCCGCATTTTATTCCCCCGCGCGCAATCCGGTCCCCGTTTAAGTGCCACTAAAGATCCCATTTATATATAGACGGAATTAATTATTTTAGGCTCAAGATATTGCGGTTCGCCCGATACACATTTTGACGTTTACAGATCGATAAGGAATCGCAAATGAGCGCGTAATGAGATTGTTATTTGGATCGCTCGCGATTACCGTGCGACGGGATGTATTTCTGAACGAGGAGTGGCGATAAAGGATGGGCGCGAGGCGGGGTGGGGTGGCAAAAAGGGGGTGCATAATGGGATAATGTTCGCTCGATGGCCCTTTTACCCTTTAACGATGATTCCTCCGGTTCCCAGCAAATTGTGCGCAAGAGGGTTCCGGCCGACAGTCGACGAGACGAAGAGAGATACCCCTCCCGTCGTCCGTTTCGTACCTCTGTAAAAATTAGACAAATGCTCCAGCTATTCCGTGCTACTTTGAAGCCGGGAAAAATTCGCCTCCGCAGAATAGCCAGCGCTCATTCGTGTGTATTTGTATAAATATCACTTAAAGGCACGCGATCCTTCAATCGAGCTCATGCGAGGCATAATGAGAGGGTCTCTGAAGCGTATTACTCGTATTATTTAGCAGTAAATCAAAGTTGGAAATGTAAACCGTTATATCGTACGCCGGTTATCTGGCCATCTCTCGCCCGGGAATATATCGCATCGGAATAAGTACGTTGGCTACGGAGAGCTGTTTGGTATTGCAAAAGTAAACGCCCGGGCATGTCGGGGGGGGCGAGGACGCGATACGATTTTCTAACGTACGGACGGTTTTTTCCGTTCGTGTGCCCGCGAGATTGCATTCCCGTTCTTAATCCCTTAATTAATTCACCGAGCAGCCCGAATGAGATCTACGGGGCGGGGGAAGCAATCGCGGGAATAATCGCCCAAGTATAAACGCTAAATTCGCCACGGCATTCTCGGATTTTCTCCGGAGAGGCCGCGTTCCAATCCATTAGCCGAGGGGGCGGCGAGTCGTTTTCGCGATATCTCCGGTACACACAGGTCGCGCGTATCTAGCGGCCGATCCCTTCGCTCCTTTATTGGTCCCGCGAAATTGGTAATGTCGTGTACTTTCTCATTACGTATGCAAATACACGCGCGCGCGCGGGGCGTTTAACGTGGGGCGTTTCTCGTTACTCGCGCGCTATTGCCGCAAGTGAGATAAGTCTTAATGATTCCGACAGCTGCCTGGTGTAACGGAAGGGCGGAACGAGGACCGATATCGAACTATCGGAGACAGCGGTGTTCATAATCAGATCTTACATTCAAGATCGTCTTGAGGCGACGTCACACCAGACATGGCGGCAACCCTTGCCTCACTTTTCAGAGAGCAGTTTAGTGGTATATAGAAGTGTCACACGCTTCCGCCGGTAATGAAGTCATAGAAACCGTTTCCGATTGTTTTTTTAGACAGTTTCACAGAACTGACTTGAAATTTTTACCGTCGATGTCTGATTAATAGAGAAACAAAGTGGTTCCCCGTGTTTTTCCCGATGTAGAAAAGAAATTACAGATTTTGCGTGGTACATAAAATTGTACTTTTTTTTTCAAGATCACTTTGTTCCTCTATTAATCAGACGTCGACTGCACAAATCATTTTGTAAAATCGTCGAGAAAAATTGAAATCGGTTTCCATGATTTCTTTACTAGCGAAAACGTGTGACACGTCGCCTTAAGATTACCTTTAGATAATCTCGTAGTCAATAAAATGTCCCGTACAGCGTCTTTAGATAATTTCAAGACGGTCTTAAACACAAGATCCGACTATGAATACCGATCAGAGAGTGATGTTCGTCGAATATAAATTGCAATATCGCCCGGCATCGAGTACTTTGTCGTCTCTATCGCGAGCAGTCGATGTTTGTCACCAACGTTAACGATTCAGATGCGTGAATAAGAAAAGGCGACTCGGTTATGTTACGACACTTGCTTACATGTGTTGAGCACTCAACTAGCTCGAGTAAATTCTCTCACTTGTAAGTTGTCCCGTCATTACACTGCCCATTCAACTGTGATTTTCTTAAAGACGTCGACCTTTTCATTTTATGTCCACCTACTAAGAATGTGAACCGTAAAGAGATACGCGCTGACGTAATAGCGTCAGAATGTCGCCCGCGGTATCCGAAATGTTACTTATCAATGCCTTTTTTTTTCTCTCCCTCTCGCTCGATATAGGAGCGTTTCCGAGGCGGATCGGTCATCCCTATCAGAATCGGACGCCACCGAAGAGGAAGAAGCCGAGGACGAGCTTCACCAGGCTGCAGATCGCGGAGCTGGAAAAGCGCTTTCACAAACAGAAATACCTGGCCTCCGCCGAACGGGCGGCGTTGGCGAAGTCGCTGAAGATGACGGACGCCCAGGTGAAGACCTGGTTCCAAAACAGGCGGACGAAATGGAGGTGAGTTCTCTCTCTCTCTCTCTCTCTCTCTCTCTCCCCCCCCCTCTCGCGCGCGAAATTTTTGATCGGTTAAGCAAAATCACTGGCTGATAGAATTCTTGTCTCGGAGCTTATCGGCACTCAACTTGACTGTTACTGATGACGATTTTTGTCGAGGCACATTGTTACCGTGGCAAATGAATTTTTTCGGGAGAAAATACGAGACTCGGGAATTGCATTCTCGGAATGTTAATAGCGGTTTAGCCGTGGCCTGACGCCTGTATCTGTAAACGCATTGGCAGTCAAATGTATTGGACTCTCTTCAAGATAAGAAAGGACAAAAACACGTCATTTAGATAAAAGTGGGCTCGTTCGTAGCGCGGGTCTCCGATACGGGGGCGTCTCGGCGGCGAGACGAGGCCCTGGCGACATTCTCGAGGACTTTCGTACAATATACTTGCCGTATTTCCCCTTGCCCTTCCCTCGTCCCTTCGTCACAGCATTTCTAAAATCGTTGCCGTGCTGTGAAGTCCTTGGCTCGTTCTTCGAAACGCGTGATAAAGCGGTAAACTTGCGGCGAAGTTTTCGGTGGGACGACGACGGCTCTTGAGCGAGCCCGCGATTGTTAGATCCAAGGCTCTATTTATCCTTCGAATTCGATTTTCTATACTCACTTTGTGCGAGGGAGACGACTCGTTAAAAATTAACACCGAAACAATTTCGACAAGCTGCATCTTTAATGTCGCGATCACCGAAAAAGATTCTACTTCGCTGACAAAACTTCTCAAAAAACATCATAAGTTCTTTTAATTTTAACGAACGCTATTTACATCGTCGCGGCGTGCAGCCCAAAAACGACGTTGGGCTTAAATATGAACATTTCTAATTTTATTGGCGATAATTTTGTCTAACAATAAGTCTTGCAGACTCGGTTACAACTATTATTCAATTCCCCGATCTGCTTTTGGGTATCGAAGTCATTTAAAATTACACGTACAGTTTAGAAATATGTTTTCTTTATTTTCCTATTAAAATATACATTACGCATTGCGATGGAAATAAATCCGCTCGATTCGTCGTCCTTTCTTAAAACTTCTCAACATAACTCTGATATTTCTGCGCTCGTGTAAATTTCAACGTGTAAACTTAAATGTAGAAGTGTCTAAATATTAGACTTAAACCTTTCGCGCTGATATATCGAATTCACTAATCGACCGATACCGACCGATCCGCTCATATACATATATTGACAAATAGGGAGAAGACATCGAGAGACAAAGAACGTAACCTTCGGAGCCGAGTCATTGTCCGCAGTCGAAACTATCGACAGGTCGCGAACGGGCAACGTAAAGCCGATTTTTTGTTATGCACACCCACAGACAAAATTTCCGGATCCAATGCCATTACATTTGAATGTATCATAAAATAGGATCGATATATAGCGCCAATCATATTTGTTATAGAGAAAGGAATATTTTAATCCTAAATGAAAAAGATGGAGGGAAAATTTATTCTAAACGCAAGAATATAAACTTACATTTATACAAGTTACTCTTGTCTCAATATAGTAAGTCGATCTTTTTTAACTCGATAGAGGAGAATGAGAATTATTGATTTTATTCTGGTATTGTCTTATTTTTATACCAAATGAGTCTGTAAAAAATATAAATGCGTTAAGAATATTTTTGTCTCGGTTACAGAAATCCTTTCTGAAGGTGCACAATTTATTAAAGAGTCAATACTATTTGCCAGTACGATTGTTATTTCGACTGATCTCTTTCGCAAGGTTATATCCTCGAAATACGATCTTTCGTAAGAGATCAGTCGATTTATTCAATCACAACAACGCGAACGACTTGCGTCTCGACTTGATTTCAGATCAGGCGAAAGTGCCCGGGAGTTGTTACACGTGGTGGCCGAAAAGTCTTTTTTTTTTCGTCGTCGCGAGAGACGAGCGGACGTGAAATTCAATTTCGAATCCGACGACACGCATTATCTGTCTCGGTACGCTCGGAAATGTTATCGCCGTGACAGGTACATTTGTCTAGAATGTTACGGCGAGTTAACTTCACGCCGGAGTGACAAGTACATCATTTTTAATTAAAGACGCACGCACGACAGGGTAATCATGCGCGCGATCAATAACGCATCACCGCGCGCGCACGACAGGCTTTTCCACTTGGCCTTTTTCTCCGCGCTCCGGTTATGGCAAAGTGGAACAAAAAACCGAGGGGAGAATGTGAAAATCCGGGAGATTCGGTCTTTCGAAATTTTGCCTCTCGCTTTCCTTTTTATTCGCGAATCTCACGTTTCACGTAAGGTCACTCGCGAGCGGTGTTCAAGTTCAACCAGTCCTGTGTCGCGAGTTGGACACGATACACCGCGGTGTAGTACATTGCGGCAATCAAAATTTTCCGATCTTAAGCCCACGGCACGCGATGCTATTTTTCCCACCGGATTGCTTACGCACCCTCACGAAGAATTTCTGTTACCGAGACAAAAAATGTTCTTGACGCATTTATATTTCTCACAGTCTCATTTAGTCTAAAAATAAGACGATATCAAAATAAAATCAATAATTCTTCTCCTCTATCGAATTAAAAAAATTGACGTACTATGTTGAGGCAAGAATAACTTATATAAATGTAAGTTCATATAGTCTTGAGTTTGGAATAAATTTTCCCTCCATCTTACAACGCACGAAGTTAGCACCACGAGACAAAAGACGCGACATACTATCATTTTATTCTAGATTAAAAAATGTTTCATTTAAGAACTGAAATATTCCTTTCTCTATAATAAATATGATTGGCGCTATATCGATTCTATTTTACGATAGATTGAAGTGCAATAGCAGTGGATCCGGAAATTTTTTCTGTGGATGCGAGAACCAATAAGGCAGAGTTTGAAGCCAACGGCACACAATACTACTTTTCCTACTGGATTGCTTGCGAGAACCAATAAGGACGCAGAGTTTTGGATCAGATGACTTAAGGCTAAATCCTGATTGGCTCTCGCAAGAAATCCAGCAGGAAAAATAGTATCGTGTGCCGTTGGGTTTAGATCAGGTGACTTGAGGCTAAATCCTGATCGCAAGCAATCCAGTAGGAAAAACAGTATCGTGTTGGCTTTAAACCTGCCGATCGGACGAAGCTGAGAAGACGGGAGGACACTTGGTCCCCGCTCGCTCGCGCGAAACCGCGGAGGGCGAAGGAAATCGCAGGAGACTCGGGGAGGTGCGCGCTCTCCTCGCTGAGGGGTGCACGCGTAAGCGTCGCGAGGCCTCGGCGAGGCGTTTACGCATGTGCGCGCGGTACGGTCCGGCGTGCAGCTGCGTTTAAAGTAACGAGATGACTGTAGGCAGAGATGAGATAACTCGGTCTCAATAATTCAGGCACCTAACAGCTTAGCCCTGTCCCGTACATAATGTAGTCTCTTCCCTCCCGTCGTGCACATCGGGCACTCTCTCAACCCCCTCCCCCCTTTCCGTCCTTCCGCCCTCGCCTCCTGTCGGCCGCCTTCTCTCGCTTTGACTGCCAATCCTCCGCTCGCCTCCCCGTCACCTCTTTCAGCCCCTACGCCTCTCCGCCGAGGGCTTCTTGGCTTTTAAACTGTCAAACGCTCGAATCCGTTGGCTCGAATCGTTTCGATCTCCGCCGGGCCCGGCCGACACCCCACCGATTCCCCGCGTTAAACATTCATCGGTTACGGGTGTAGGACCAGGCCGGTAAGCGTTCGAACACCGATTCCCAGACTCGACACGATATACCGCGCGCGTAATGTAGCAGGTAGCGCGAGAGGAATACATATATCAATCGGCGCGTATTACGTGTCGCGCGATTCGGTGCGACGACTCGTCTTTAACTTTTCTTACCGCGAGCCAACGTTTACTCGTGTCTCGTGGAACATGCTCGTTCAATGAACGAAAACGTAAGAACGCAATATAGACGGGACAAAATTGATAATAGAGATAAGTCCCTCATTATGAGATAGGATCCTAATATAGGACGGCGGGGTTTCTGTTAACTTAATAGACATCATCGGTTGATGCCACCATGAATTTATTGCCCTTGAAGCGAAATTCATTTTAAGATTGTGTAATCGTTGCGAAAAAATGATTTGATTGAATTTGGGCGTCGAAAACCCGCTGTCTCATATTAGAAACCTATCTCATGATAGAGGACTTTCCTCTACATAAAAATGATATGGGGGTGAAGGCGCGATCCGCACCAGTCGGCTGTTGGCAAAACTGTAAAACGTAATCCACAATGTGCTCGTTGCGTCTAGAAACATGTTATTTTATATAAGCAAACCGAAAAACGCTTTAAAAAAATTCGTCGACGGTCCACGATTGTACAGTGTATAACGATTCATCAGCTCTCGTAAATTTCTTAAATGTATTTATTAGTTACAAAATAGAACGTTTCTAGACGCAAGGAGTACATTGTGTTTAAATAATGGCAAAAATTACGAGGCGCGGCGGGTTCAATTGAGAGAAAGAGAGAGAGAGAGAGTCGCGAAAACGTGTTTTATTCGCGCATCGAGCGCGCCGCCGTTGCGGGGGTTGCCGGGGCGTCGCGTAGCGTCGCGTCGGAGCGTGCGCCGAGGTATAAAGATAAGAGTAATGTGTCCCAGGTTGCGAGAGAATACGGTTACGCCGGCCGCAGCGAATAGGGCGAGGCCGCGTCGGGGGCTGCAAAATGTAATCGGCACGGCGCCGTCAATTATTAATCGCTAACCGCGTTAATTACTTGCAGCGGCGTAGGTGCACCTGTCACTGCAGCAACGGCGTAGCCGCAACGGGATCCCGGACGCGGGCGGCGGCGCGGTGGCGCGGACGAGCGAGATTCAATTGCCCCGGGAGCTGATAAAAGTGACAACGCGCTAAATCTTGCGCCGTTTTCCACCTCGTCCCCGCCCCGTGGTGACGTGCGCGATCAACGGTCCGCGTCGTAATTTCATTCGGGATTTATTCGAGCCGCGCGATTCGCTCGCGTCGCGATAATCACCTTAAAAAGTAACCCTTTTTTTTAAAAAAAAAAGGCGCTAAGCATAAGCGCCATCCAATCAAGAATTATATGATTCGAGTATTTGAATAGATTTTATTTTCAATCTCGTATTTTATATTATCCACTGTGACAAACCATAGTGTATCTATGTATTTTTTATTTTTTTATAATTGCCTGTCACATATTGTAACGATTCGTTAATGTATTCTTTATATTGTGCGCGGTTTCTAATATCGATTTTTTTTATTGTACATTTTAGGAAATTGCTTGAAAATTTGAATGTATTAATGGTCTTTTCTAATTGTTGGGTACATATCGGTTCTGATTCACGGCATTATTGTCTATTAAAAAAAAAATTTGGCGCCGCTAAACCGCTGAAACATACATTCGAGCCGCGCGCCTTTTCTCCGCGCGCGTTAGACTCCCTTTTTAAAACCGCCCGCCATCTTTCGAACACCCGTTTGAACGTGCGAGCTGGCGTTTTACGAGATAAAGCGATTTGTTTTCCGCTTAGCGGTCGAGCCCGTCGAGCAGATCAATCCGGCGATAAACAACGGGAATTACAGCGTCCAACGAAGTGGGTCGAGGGAATCGGAAAGTAAATTTTAAAGGCGAGCGATCGTCGGCGGGCACCTCGTTTATTCGTGCTGTGTGTATCGGGTGAAGAAAATTACAGGAAGTCGTTGGGAGAGCCGCGTTGCTCAACTCGCGGCCAAAAAGTCGGGCAAAAAGAGGGTCAACGAGATAGCATATACCTGCGATAGGCCGGAACGCGGCGTAATTCGTGGGGAGGACACGAGCGCGCCCGCCACCGGTCTTTAGGAGGTCCGCGAGCGTATTACGCCAGAGGGACCAGTTTTAGGAAATTATAACGATCACGACGCGGGAAAACATTGGGATCGAGCCCGGGCTCGCTCTGCCCGGCGCACCCGGTCCGCCGATTCATCCTGTCACGGAAGCATGGCACGTCGGCGAGAAACGCGACCGTCGAAATCGTGCCTGGACTAATCCCGGGGATAGAAACTTTCGGTGGGTTGAAAAAAAAAGAGACTAACGGGACGATACATTTTCAACGGCTAATTCCCGTTGTTCATCGTCAAATTGGCTGGTCTTCTCGACGAGCGACCGCTGTGCGGAAAACGGATCGCTTTATCTCGTAAACCGACTCGCGCAAACCGGTCATTCGGCGCTCATTCGAACGGGTTGAAAGATGGTGATTCTTAAGCAGAGACCTAAAGCCTTGTGTCCACGATGCTAGAAATCGATCCGAGAAATATGTGGCCAATCAACTTTAGCTTTGCTACAAAAACTGCATATCGATGGCATAATTCTCGGATCGAGATCTCAGGCCGATTTCTAGCATCGCGGACACAAGGCTTTTAGATTGCTTTTTAAAAATCACCATCTTTCAACTCGTTCGAACGAGCGCCGAATGACCGTTTTCCGCGATTCGCTCGCGTCGCGATAATACGTGCCGGTGATTGAAATCTTTATGAATAAAAAGCCGCGCACCTCTTCGCGCACGTTAGACTCCCGTTTTACAATTCGATCGATTTCTACACCCAAAAAAAAATTCTATTCATAAACGGGAAAATCCTCTATGCATTTCCTCTAAGCAAGAAATCTTATACGAAGCATTTCTCACTTACTTTAACACGTATTCATCTATAAAAGAGTAGACTCACAAGTTATGATTAAGAATGAATTCTTTTATAGAAAATTCCATTACAGTAATACGACTAGCCTCTTGAAATAAGAGGCTACGCGAGATATTCGCGGACACGCGAGTCGCAGCACGTGCGCTTGTTAAAGGAAGATTGTTATTTGTTACACAATTGTCATTTGTTCGCGACACACAGGGCAGCGTCAGTCGCCCTGTTTGCAGCGAGCTGTGAAACATGTGTAACATACACGACAGTGTAGTGTAGTGCAGTCAATTTGGTAAAAATTATATATAAAATAAAAGTTTGGTGAAAATAAACTCTTCGGCATGAACGAGGTACAAAAGTTTCTGGAGAAAGCCCATTTAAGCGACTACTGGCCCGCATTTGAGAGTGAGTTCGTTTTTGCTAATAGCTTTTTGGATATAAAACTGTAAAGCCCATTCTACGTTAATCGCAATCGTACATCGCAAGCTATGCAACGAGGAACTCAGTCAATGCAATTGACTGAATCTCTCGTTGCGATGCCTGCGACGTGCGACTACGACAAGTGTAGGAATATTTATGATGTTAGGCGGTTATAATGCTTTATACGGTTAAAAGTAGAAAATATTCGTTTTAAAAAGTTGTATAAATACTAAAAATAAGAATATTGTCATATTACAAGAAGAAAAGATTCCTCCAGCATTAGGAGGATTGCGAGTTTAAATCTCATGCCTCAGAGTTATAGGATATTCTTCTAGAGGTTAAAGTATCTTCTTGAGACCGTATTTCATAGGAAAATCCTTTGAAATCAAGAGGGAACCATTAAAAAATAGAATACCTTTTTTTTGGGTGTAGCATCGTGGACACCAGGTTTAACGCGTGGGAAAATGTATCTCTTTTATTTATACAGATTTGAACGGTCCAACGACATTAACAAGTGCGATTTTAACAAACGAGGATGCTTGAGAGAGCACGGGCTCGAGCTATTCGTCACGCCGGGCGGCTATTCGTGCGCGCAAGCTCTATCGACCTTGCCGAACGAGTCGGCCATTTTGCGGGCGCCCTAATAGACTTAACGCTAGAAAACAGACTTCGCGCGCGCGGGCCGCGGCGCAAGGTGGACCCCGCGCTCTTCGCCGTAACGACGAATCGAATTAGCTTTATTACATCCGTCTTCTGTTTTCCGCCCAACGGTCGCTAACTCTATTTTCGCCGTCTCTTTACTCCGCCTCGTTTCCTACCCCGAGCTCGCTCCCCTCGGCGCGAGCCGTCCTCGCGGCGAAAATTCCCGATGGCGCGACGGGGCGCGCAGTTGAGAACTTGGGCTATAGCGCCAATAGTCGATTTATGTTAGACTACCGTGTCAAAAGTCAGCAAGTTTCCCCGACGAGCTATATACAGCCCCGTGTAAACTTGCGCAACTATGGAGAATGCGATTTGAGGGCCGCCGATACGTCTTTAACCCTGCAGTAGCGCAATACATCCGCGCAATATTCGGAAATAATAATGTAAATCTTAAATATTCCAAACATATATCGGTCCAATATTTTATGGGCACGTTCTCTCATTTATAATATCCGATACGTATATTCAGCAATATTGGTCTAATATTGTGCGATATTGTACACCCACCGAAAGGATTTCTGTTACCGAGACAAAAAATATTCCTGACGCATTTATATTTCTCACAACCACATTTAGTATAAAGATAAGACAGTATTAAAATAAAATCAATAATTCGTATTTCTCCTCTATCGAATTAAAAAAGATTGACTTACTATATTGAGACAAGAGTAACTTGTATAATTGTAAGTTTATATATTCTTGCGTTTGGAATAAATTTTCCCTTCATCTTACAACGAAGTTGACACCGGGATATTCGACAAAAGACGGTACATACTATCATTTTATTCTAGATTTTAGAATGTTGCATTTAAGATTAAAATATTCCTTTCTCTATAATAAATATGGTTGGCGCTATATCGATCCTATTTTACGATACATTGAAGCGCAATAGCATTGGATCCAGAATTTTTTCTGTGAGTGTAATATTAGACAAATATTCATATTACATTGCTAAATATTAGTCAATGCACTTCCGGTAAATCAAATATAATTATTATTGTGCAATATTTGCATTTATTCCGTGGCCAATATTGGCTTTGCATTGAAATACTGGCCAGTGCATTTGCGATATAGCCAATATTCAGCCAATGTAATGTGCTACCAGGGTCATCGGAAGTTAGAGCCAATTTTGCTCTTTTTAATTTATTCCAGTGTAATCCAAAATATTTATTAATTTTATAGACGAAGCCTTAATTAACGTTTCGATTTATCTGCAACGTCAAATTGAGCCTAACGTCGCATTTGAGTTTTGAACGTCCAATGGGGATTAATTAAAAGATTTGAGTGGAGGAAGTAGATCGCACGCGCGTGCGATTTTCAGCCAGATGACCTTATCTTCAACGGTCAGATTGTCGATTTTTCAGTCTCTCCGGGCGAACGATTAATTAACGGAACGAACGCCGCTCGATTCTCTGTTGCAGGAGGCAGACGGCGGAGGAGAGAGAGGCCGAGAGGCAAGCCGCGAATCGGCTGATGCTGTCCCTGCAGGCCGAGGCCCTCGGCAAGGTGGCGTACCCGACGTCGGTGTCCGCGCACCCCGGCGGCGCCCCGGTGTCCAGCCTGGACAGGCAGCAGGCATCGACGACGGCCCTAACTCACCCGGTTGGCCAGTGGGCCTCCCCTTACGGCCCGCCGCAGCCCCTGGCCGAGCCGATTTGCTGAAGCGCGACGACGACGCTCCGAGAGACTCTCGTTAAGTGAACCGTCGTCGCATCCACGCCTCGTCCCACCCTGCGAATCTAGAATCAGGAATCCGAAGCCGGATCTCTACATTCTGTTTCATTCCTTTTTTTTTTTAATTTGCTTTACGATAGATAGCGAACGAGGGAACGCTCGTTCGTCGACCGATCGGCAGAGAGAGATTTTCAATTATTTTTCCCTCTTTTTTTTTAAATAGAATAGTGACGGACCGCAGGCTGTTAGCATCGCCTTCCTTCTGCCTTACGATCAGGGTTGGGAAGTAACTCGTTACCCGTAACGAAGTTACAGTTACAGTTACTTTTTTTTGGTAACTCTAACTTAACTTCGTTACTTTCTCTCCATCTGTAACTTAACTCGGTTACATTCTTTTCGATAATTAGTAACCAAGTTAATAGTTACATTAATAGTTACTTTATATATGTTTTAAACCTCCACAGATCGCATCGGGCTTTGCCTTCGCGCATAAGCGCCTTTGTCGGTGCTTTACAGTTCAAATGAAGATTCGATATTTTTATTTTCATTGCAAGTAAGTAACCGCAAAGCAACGATTCGTTACTTTTCAGCATTCGTAGCTTGTAACCATGGTCTTACATACAGGCCTGGAAACTGCGGTGGTGGGAGCTATGTCGGTTTCTAAGTCAAGATTGTGCACTAAAAATGACTTAAATTTTGGCACATCCCTCCCCCCCCCCCCCCTCGCCACTAAAATTTGCCTGTATGTAAGACCGTGCTTGTGACTAGTTACATTTTTAGCGAAAAAACTCTAACTCTAACTAGATACTTTTATAAAGTGATTTTCCCAACCCTGCTTACGATATTCAGGCGACCACCACCAAAACACGAACGTCCTAAAGAGCACCGCGAAATCGATTGTACATTGCCTTACAATGTCAAACATACACACACACACATACACATTCAAACAAACACACACACACGCTCGGAGCTGTATCATTTATTAGCCACGGCTCGAGATTTTGCCATATAATTGTCACAAGGTTCGAGCGGTTAAACCGTCGCGCGGATAGCGCGATCGCGCGCGAGGCGCGATAATCGTCGTGAATTTATCATGTACGAACAATCGGGTCGCATTAAAAGCGTCCGTTCCTTCTCGCGAAGCGTGGATTATCGTGATTAGCCACGATTGACGCGACATTATCGACATGCACGTGTCTCGACCCGGCGAAATAGAGAGAGAGAGAGAGAGAGAGACGAGTGCCTCTCCGAAAACCGTTTATTTCCAGATCGCGTTGAACGGGCCGGACGTTCGATAACGTGTCCCCCCTCCCCCCTCTCCCGCCCCGTCCCCCGCTGAGTTACTCGATCTTTTCTAAAGAGAAGCTGTACGTTTTCCCGCATTATGCATCGTCGAGAGATCATGGATCGCGCGAGCGACGTCGCGGCGAGGCTCCAGATCCCGTACACACGCGTCCTTGTCGCGTTTCAGAGAGGCGACAAATCTCACAGGTTTTTCGCCGCGGACGCGTCGGTGAAACGGCTCGACTGGACAAGGACGGGTGGGAGGGGCAGGGCAGGAAGGGGGGGGGGGAAGAATACGACTGATAAGGGGTGTGATTTTTCAAGTTTCTTCCGTCGAGCAGCGGTGTCTCCTCGCTAGATGCGGATGCGGGCCTGAACGGAACAGCTGACGTGACATATCGGTGTACATACTAGACGCCATAGTTGTAATTAGACATTGTACTTGTACGATATATGAAATACTTGTATACGCAGAAGCGCTGTCGTGCCAACGTACCGGCGGCGTACGTTCTCTTTGATTGTTAGATACGTCCTGTATATATTATTTCATGCGCGCTGCGACGCGGCACAATGCAATCAAGATTATATTATATATATATATATCCCGGAATACTATTATTATATACTGCTAAAAAGAAATAAACCATACATACCGTACATTACGATCGTCGTCGTCGTCGTATGATTAGGTATGTTTTAAGTTATAAGTTTCGGTAATAAAATTATTATTATAGCGAACGATGTGATGTTATGTAAGTACGTGTAACGTTGTATATACGAGAGAAAAAAATTGAAATGCATATAAAATGATTTAACTGCTACTCGTTCCTCGGTAATCTAACACCGCACATCTCCTTGCGAAGAATCCGACGGGTTGCGTGGGAAGAGGCGCGGTATCGCGCCGATTACGGCGGGAACAATTAGTAACGACGTCGGTAATAATTTCATTAACTCAATAAGCAACGATCCGTTCTCCGATTTGCGGATAATTAAAGATTTTAATGATGCCTTTACGCGAGGTATCTCCCGAGCGCCATCGCATCGATTGCAGCGAGTGGAAGCGATTGCGTCTTAAAAGTGCAAAAGATTGAAGAAACCGCGGAATAATTTAAGGGACCGTCGAGTAATAATTTAATGAACTTCGTGGCAAGTAATTTCCGCTTGTTATATTTCACGGCATTGCGGGCTAGCGTGTGTCTTTGCGGAGAAAAGTGCTTGTAATGTGTCGTATTGTAATTTACTACACCTTAAACTTTACACGAAGTCTTTCTGCGGCTTCTCACGCTATGGAAAAATCAAGGACTATATTTAATTTGGGGAAAAAAACGGAATGCAAGGGTAAACATTTTTTTTAATTTTAAATCATCGAGACATTTTCGAGAGCAAGAAAGTATGATTTTGCATACATATAATTCGATTTTATAGTACCGTGAGAATATTTTAAGTGAAGCAATAATGTAAAAAAATTAATTTCCAAGATATCTCATATTTCATAGACATGTTCTAATGCAAAGTGAATGGAATGTCCAGTAAACTTGCGTTCTTGCTTTGATTTTTTTATACATAGAATGAGTTTTGATGCTGTTACAGTTATGCAAATGCATCTGGAATGTGCGATTGCTCTTTCTTTTTAAACGCAATCATACACTTTTCTTTCATATCAATCGATTCGTCTCATTATCTTGCATTACTCCGACACGAGATGGAACGGAGAATATCTCGTGAAATGTGGTCACCTCTCGACGTTTTTCTCTCAACATTTTCATCGAATAATAAGTAAAATCGCTTGATGATTTTACACAGAAATGCATCTGGCATCTGGCTCTTTCCCTTTTTAAACGCAATTACACGTTTTCTTCCACATCAATCAATTCATCTCATTTCGCACAATGTCATTCGTACGCGTGCAATTTCGCGGCAAATACGCGGAACGAGGTACAACGTTTCATTTCCTTCGATGAGATCGGTACACTTTGCAAATTGCGCCGTTTAAGAAATACGAGGAAAGCATCGGGAACGGGTTTGCCGTAACGAGGACTCATTACTCCGTGTCAGTGCGCCGCGTAATGCCTACATCTTCTTTGGAAGCTCGGTTTCCGTTATTTTTCTGTCGAAACGACTACCTTGTCACACGATCGCAATATTTTGATCTTTCGCATCCGCGTAATAGGCGAGCGGCGGTCAGTTTTCCTCCCGTCTCTTTTTTTCCCTCTTTGTCACACCTCTTTTCCCCCCCTAACAACGTCCGTCAAAGACGCGAGTCCTTTTTCTCCTTCGATCGGCCTTAATCGGTGTCTTTTCTCGTGGAATTATCCCGCTTCACCTAGAGCTCCCTGTACCGGATGTGGCTGCGTTTACTGCCTATAATTGCAGAGGAGACGCCGCGCGCCGTCCCGCCCAATTATTTGGGGACAAACGCCCGCCGCCACCGGGAACGAAGGTCCTGAACGCACTGCGTGCGGGACCACGTCTCCGTGGATCAGCAACGAACCCCGTGTGATACGCGATCTACCTTTCAGAATGCACCGGCGAACCTCAGAAAGTGTATTATTATGTGATTTATGTAATATCTTGGAAATAATACCGAAACGATATCATTTAAACTTCCCAAAACGCTGCTCTCTGATTGCATACAGATATCGCATCGTTGTTTCAGAATTATTAATAATCCGCTCTGAGCCGTCAATTATCATAATGGTATAATCGTAACGAACAGGAATTAGCATAGAAATTCGATTGTTCGGTAAACTCTATCTTATCTGGAAAGAACAAGTGTAGTTAACGACTTTTAATAACGCAGATACCACCGATACGTATATGTCCTTGAGGACACTTGACGGAAGTATCTTAAACGTTTCCGCCGTTTAGCTCAGAAATCTGGTGAGTGAACGAACCGTTTCCGACAGGTACCCCGACACAGGTACAACACCGTCGGCCGAGGGACGCGTCATCGGCGCCCTGTAATCTCGTTTCAAGCGAAGACCTTCCTGCGGTATTTCTAGTTTTTAACGTGGACACACCGCGTCGGTGGCGGGCCGGAGAAGACGAGAGGAAAGGTGACCAATTACGAGGGCTCTCCTCCGAGTATCAAGACGTCCGAGCGGCTCTATCGGGTCCCACACTCGAAACTCCGCGTCGCCGACGAGTCAACGACCGCGATGTGGATGTCGGGGGGGGGGGGAGAGCAACCGGACGAAATGAAATCCGAAATTACGGAAAACCCAGTTTGAAGGTACAATGTTACTCTGACGCGCGTGCATCAGCGGCGGGCCGTCCTTTTCTCACCGTGCAGGTAACGACGAAAAGGCTCTCGTAGCGATTTTTATCCCATTCTCTCTCTCTCCCCCCTCTCTCCATTTATCTTTTATTTCTTTTCACATTTCGTCTCATTTCTTTTTATGTTGTTATCTCAAGTACCAATCATACGCACTGTTCACTCATAGTTTCATTTTTTTTAAATACGCCTTAGAGGACTTGTCCCAGAGCGTGCAATAAGTAACGATTCTGATTCTCTCTCTTTCTCCCTTTCGTATTTTTATTTTACATTATTTTTCTTTTCTTTTTTCTAATACTATACTGTATCACTATATTACAAGCATTTAGTTCAGACCTACGGATACAACTGTAATAACGTCCGTCTTAGGGGAGCTTGTCCCAGAGCGTTCAATAAACAACGATCCCGATTCCGATTCTCTCTCGGC